ATCATTTTCACAACTTTTATGATGCCTCCTGAATTACAATGTTTCACGGTGCCCAAGGGCGGATTTATTGGGGAAGGGGGGCTATAGGGGCAATCGTCATCTCTTAAATAAATAGGATTGAATTTTTTTTGGTAAATTTGTATATTTAACTCAGCATGTTGTTTAAAAATGGAAGTAACTAGGTAGGCTTTTAAAATTGAAAAATTATCAAATATAAAAATTATCCCTCTACTTTATTAAATGGTCTGGATCCACTTAATTAAGTAAACCAAAAAATTGCCGCCGACCACCTTTCTTTCTCTATCTATATATCTTCCTTCCTAGATGGTGGAATAAATAAAACTGAAAATCATCCCTCTTCTTTACTAGAGGATCTGCATCTGATCTGTAATTTTTAATAAAAAATGTTTGTTTTTTTAAAAATGAATTTTAAAGTTAATAAATTATAATATTAAAAAATAAGTTAATAATATCAATATTATTTTAAAATGATAACATTGTGTTTACAAATTATAATCATTTAAAGTATACACCTTTTCTTCTTTTAAGGATGCTGTTAACGTAATGTAAAAACCATTGTATAATCTGCATAATGAAGCGTATATGAAGTTTTTTTAAATTGCTTTTATTATTCGGTCAGTTTATGTAACTAGAGTTGATCATATGATCAAAATGTTTTACACAGTAGGTATCAGCAGAAAAAAGTTTTTGAGAGCCATCAAGAAAATACTCATGGATAAAGAAAAAAAGATGATGAAGGTGATTATGAAGATGATGATGAATGAGCATTGTATTTAATTGGTAGTTTGTAGAATAGTAACACCTTTATGAATTTTATGAAAAAAAAGTTTAGAGGTTAGAGAGAATTGATTAGAGCGCTTGCTTCAAAATTGAGAATTTTCAACGCTAGTTCTGAACATTTATTTGATAGATAAAAAAAAAGTTTATAGTTTAGAGAAAAATGAGCTAAATAACTTGTCCAAGCTAAATGATGCAACAGCAGATCCAAATGATACAACAACAGATCCTAAAATGAATTAAAAGACTTAAATTAAGGTTGTTGAGCATAAGGGGTAAGATAGGCAATTGATACTCATAAACTACGCATCACATGACAAAACATCTAATAGATTAAAGTTAGGGAATTTGAATGCTAACATAACGCGCAAACAAAAGATTGCTGTAAAGCAGTTGAGTAAGACACTCGGGTCCTTTTTCTATTTTGGACAAAAAAATAAAAAAAAAAAATTTGCTGCAACTACTGCTCTTATGATTATATAAGGGAGGATGGGGAGGATGGGGCTGGTTAGCATCAAGGGTAACTTGACAATTTCATTTGGCATTAAAGTCTTCTTCAGTAATGGCAGAAGTTACGCGTAATCATTCTAATGACCCTTTTCGTGCTAAAAAACAAAAAAGTAGAATTTTGCGCATGCGCATTATAGAGATATTGCGTTTTATGTGTTTTTTAAACCAAAAATTTTTTAGTGAAGGAATATTCTTCTTTACTTTACAGGAAAATATGTTGTTTTTATGAAAAAAAGAAGGTTTTCTCAACTTGTCAATATTGCACTACACCTAACTCATCAGTATGCCATCATAGAATGAAGTTATCATTTTCATTTCAACAAGCTGTGCCTGCCTTGTCCAAAAGATAAAATTAAAATAAGTATTCTACACAAATGCACAAAACGTGGAAATAAAATGCAAAAAAATTTCATTTTTGCACAGTTATTAATAAAATCACAATCTTAAATATTAAAAGGGATTAAAAATACGACAGCACATCCCAAAATCAATTTTTGTTGATTATAGAAGCAATATTTGTGCATAAGGGACGTATTTTGACTAAAACTAATGTAAATTCAGTATAGACATTTTGGTCTAATCACTTTTTTGCCATAAACAATATTTATGAAAATATGAGCGGTATGCCATCCTAGGCGCTATGCCATCATAGGCGCCTTTCCCCTAAGTGTTTATATTTTACCAATCTGTCAGGCTTCTCATTAAAACTAGCGGTTTTTTCCTAAATCTTGAAAACCTAAAGGTGAGTTTCCACTCATCCGTTTTTCTACGGGAACGGGATAGGAAAGGGAAAAATAATCACTTGAGCATGCGCAGTTTTACTTCGGACAATTAAAACTTATAATACGCATGCCCACGTGATTATTTTTCCCGTGAAAAAACGGATGAGTGGAAACACTCCTTAACTAATATATCATCTTGTCTAGTAGAGGTAAGTCAAGCAGCTTTGCAAAAAATAAATAAAACTAAACTACCAAACTTAAAAAAACAACATTGATAAGAGATAATTTAGCATTATGTACATTATTGATAAGTATTTTAAAAATTAATAATTTTTAAATTGGTCTTCAAAGTTAAAAAGAGTTGTATAAAATAAAATTTTTATATTTTATGACTTTCTTACTATTAAATTTTTTCTTTTCCGATACGTCAGGCATGTCAAAGTGGCAAGACTTTTAATGGTGGCCCCCAACATTTTTATCATTGTATTGCATATGGCATAAAAATTTATTAAAAAAATTATGACAATATATTTTAATTTTAACAATCGATATGAGAAAATAAGACGGGTGAATATTAAAAAACAATTGCTTTTACTCGTTTTTAGAGTAATTGTTCAACTTTACGTGGATAAAGATTTAAGCAAAATCTCTCAAATTTTTATTTACGTAAAACTGAGCAATTTACTCCAAAAAGGCTGAGTAATTGCTCAGCTTTACGAGAACAAAAATTTGATTAAAATTGGTCAAGTTTTTATTATCTTAAAGCTGAACAATTACTCAAAAAATGCTAAGGAAAAGCAATTGTTTTTTTTTCACCCGGCCTAATAATATCTCAATGTTAAACAACAGCAACAAGATAACCCGATCAGTCAAAAAATATAAACAATATAAACAAGATTTTGATGTGAGGTTAAGTACTCTCCCCTAGCTATTATTTTAAAAAATGTGGCCGAATATCAGTAGTTGGTAATGTTTGGAGGTATAAGTCGTAAAAAAACTTAAACTTTAAACCGCCATAAATCTCTAACTAGTAAACAAATTATACTGAAATATTAAACAGAGATTAAAAACAGAAGAGGACTTAAGATGGAGCCTTGTGGAACACCACAGAATATTTTAAGTTTTTTTTGTCTAAAAACCGTCATTTGAGATATAAACTGTTTTTGATCAGTTAAGTAACTGTAGACCATTTATGGTATTTATGGTATACTCCGTATTATTTTTGTTTTTCTAGAAAATCTGATGGTTAACGGTGTCAAATGCTCTTGACAAGTCTAGGAATATACCGAAAGTGAAGATGATGCTCCGCTAATAACTTTAATTAGTTGTATAAGTGCATGCTCCGTAGAGTAATTTGATGGAAAATCATATTGATTACAATAGAGAAGATTGTTTTGATTCAAAAACGCAAAAAGCTCATTATACATGATACCTTCGAGTATTTTAAAAAAAAAATTATTTTTGTATTTTATACAAGTTGAGTTTTTCAAATTTGACCATAATTACAAAACATAATTTCTTAATTGAAGAAATTATGGTAAAATAAATATAAAGCTGTCGGTCAGAATAATTCAGGATATATTCCTAACAACATTAAACATAACATTAACAACATTAAACATAACATTAACAACATTACCTAACAATTCATTTGATAGATTTTTTTTTGTTTGTTTTTGTTTAGATAAACTTATTTTTAAAAATCATTAACTTTAGTTTGTAAATAAAGTTTTAAAAAATAACTTTAACTTATTTTAAAAAACGATCTTATATTTACATATAAAAGAACTAATTAAAAATCTACTCGTTAAATGGAGTAATATATTATGCCGGGTCAATAAAAGTTGCTTTTACTCATCAATTGGTCAGTTTTACGTGAACAAAAACTTACTTAAATAAAAACTTAACCAAAGTAATTCTTATTCGCGTAAAGCTGGCCAATTACTGAGTAAAAGCAATTGCTTTTTTTTATTCACCCGGCCTTTAATGATTAATGTTTAAAGTTTAATGTCATCAATAATGCAAAGTTTGATTCATGGTTTTTTAAAAAACTATGGTCTTTTTAAAAAAACCTGATTTTGACTTAAAAGTATAAATTAAGTTTTATAAAACTTTTTATAAAATATTAAAAAAACAGTTTAAAATCCATAATGGCGCTTATTCTTGAAATTAAATACTTATATAGAACTTAGAACTTATAAGTTCTATATAAGTATTAAATTCCAAGAATAAGCGCCATTATGGATTTTAAACTGTTTTTTTAATATTTTATATGGAATTTGAATATTATCTTGAAATATTGGAATATTATCTTGGAATATTGGAATATTATTTTGAAATTTAATACTTATATAGAACTTAGAACTTATAAGTTCTAAGTTCTATATAAGTATTAAATTCCAAGAATAAGCGCCATTATAGATTTTAAACTGTTTTTTTAATATTTTATAAAAAGTGTCTGCTTTGTGGTCTACCACCACAAAGTAGACGCTTTTTACTTTGTGGTGTTTAGAGTTTAAAGTTTTCTGTATAACATTAAACAACTTTTTTATGTAGATTTTTTTGTAAGTCTAAAATTTATAATTAGTTGGAGGTTATTAAATTAAAGTTTTTTAATTTTTAATAATTTCTATTAAATTTTATAAAATAAAGTTATTTTTTCGTTACAATTTACTTATTTTGATGAAATCTTTTTATTATTCTGGCATATGTTGCTGTTCATGCTCTATTTGAGCAAGGTAATTTTTTATTTAATCAGAAAAAATATAATTTGCATTGAAACAAGGACCTAATAATATTTTATTGTTTTTTGCTGTTATTACAACTAATTTGGATATCTATTAGCCCACTGGCAAAACTACGGATACAGCGAGGGTATTCATGTAATGATGCGGCTATAAACAATGATGAAAGTATATATCTAATTATAACGAATCAACTATAATTATAAATATAAAGCAATATTCATACCAAATGAGCAATAAAATTGTTTTCATTGTTTGAAAAAACAACTGTAATTGATTAACGTTGGTTTTGAAATAAAAAACGCGCTAGAAACAAAAGTTATTCATTAACATCAGTTTCACTGTTTGTTGAGTTTATTGAGTTTTATATGGAGAATGCATAACTTTCTTCTCAGTGAGAAATTCATTGAAAAAAAATTAATTTGATTCAAAGCCTCGTGATTTTAACAGAGATCACACAAAAAATATGGCCAAAACGCATGAAAAATTAAGTAATACTCATATTTTTAAATTTTCTATGAGTAAAAGATTTTTCATAAAACATAAAAATATTTTAAACATCACTAACATAAAATATATAATTTTAGAATTATTTATCTCTTGCCTGTGGCGATTGTTCCTTTTGCCGAACAAACTTTGCCGACAGAAAGTTTGTTCTTAATAAATTCTACGGGAACAATATTTCTTTCTCTCCCGTGATAAATATTCTTGTATAAAATTTTAAACTTTTTGATAAATATTCCTCCATAAAATTTTACTAAAACTGTATATTAAAAAATATAATCTTGTTATTGTTTTGCTACTTTGTTTATTTCATTGAAATCATTCAAACAATACGAAAGGGGAGTAGTTAGAGGTGTCCTGACAAAAAACATTTATATTTTTATCATAGCGTAATTAGGTTTCTTTGCAAACTCGGTGATATTTTTTTTCATTAATAGTTAGTCTTTTGTTTGTAGATATTTTTCCCGGGGTTTTCTCATTCATTGAAACTCGGTGCTACTGAAAGAATTAAATGTCTTGTGAAAAAGGACAGCTTTATCAATTTATGAAAGGATATTTATATATTGTTAAAGCTAAAGCAAAAGCGTTACGATTAAGCAAATAAAAATGGTTTGAGAATAAAACACTCCCTTGCGAGTCAGGCTATTTGTCAGTCGATGTAGCAGCACTCCCTTGCGAGTCAGGCTATTTGTCAGTCGATCTAGAAGCACTCTGTTGCGAGTCAGGCTATAAGATAGTAGATGTAGAAACACTCCCTTGTAGCAGCAGGCTATAAGATAGTCGATGCAGCAACATTTACGCTTGTTTTAAAAATGTTTTTTAATAAAACAAAAACAAAAACACCACTAATTAAAAAAACTTTCTAGTCGTTATTATTGCGGTTTTTTAAAGATTTTATAAAAAACAATAAAATTTAATGTACTTCCGCATTAATTTAATTGCTTTGACATTTCGACGACAATCATATACACCTTTAGAGACGAGGTAATTAAAACTGTAGTCGAAAGAGACTTTTTTCACATTAAAAGAATCTTTCGACTACACTATAAGGATATATATATATATATATATATATATATATATATATATATATATATATATATATATATATATATATATATATATATATATATATATATATATATATAAATTCTTTAAAATCTGACAGGAGCAAGCAGAAGATAATACATCTTATATCCTTGCTCCTTAGGTATTGAAATAGTTTACTTACACGTTTTAATTTATAAAATATATAAGTGCATATTTAAGAGTTAAACATACGCATATATATATATTAGTAAATATATAGCAAGATAAATAAATACATAACAAAACGAGTGAAAAAAAATCAAAAAAAAGTTTTTATTGGTTAGATTTAACAAATGTTGTTTCACAGTTTTTTTAAAATCTTTAATTGTGGTTATAGATTTTATGTTGTTATTCAGGATCGAGTTCCACAGATGTGGACCCCGACAAGTAATTGAGTAGTCCCATTTTTTGAGTGTTGTTGACGGAATGTATTGTCAATAGAATATCTTGTTAAGTATTTGTGATTAATTAAGGATAAATGAGGCTGAAAATATGATGGAAGCATGTTATTGTGAAGTTTAAACATTAACAATAAATTTTGATAAATATTTAGTTCGTATACATCTAAAGTATTAATTTCTTTTAGTTGGCGTATGCATATTTGTTCGCATTAAAAATTAACCAAGTCGCTTTCTATTGTTTGATATAAACTTTTTTTTTTTTGAAGACAACTGATTACTTGCCCAAGCTATATTATAAGTGAAAACGAGTTAACTTTAGAAGTTGAAAAAAACTTGAAGAGATTTTATATTGTTAGATAAGAAAGCTTGTGAACAAATTTAAACTTGGTCCGGATGATGCGACTTACAACAAATACAGAAAGTGAAAAACTTCGAGAAAATCTTATGTGTAAAAATTTTAACAAAACCACTTTCAAATCAAGAAAATTATAAAGTTGAATTTTTCTTTAACAAAAAAATATTGCGTATCTGACTTTCTTTTATTTTTTTATTACTATTAGAATCTTTATACAAATATATAAAAACAAAAAACGCGAACTCGAATAAGGTCACATCGAGACCGCTAAAAATAAAATTTAAATATTTTTTTTTTACTTATTTGTAAAAATTTTATTCTGAGATTTAAATTAGAGAAATAAAATTTCGAATATATAAACATCATGTTTTGATTCATTAAACCTGTTAAATTTTAAGTTGAACCTGTTACAATATATTAATAAAAACTTTGATAAACTCATTGCTAAAGCATAATTTATTTATACGATATTTTTTCTTCTTAGACCATTAAAATAGATAGGGCTTCGTCGAAAATCCGTTTAAGCCAAAAATATTTGCATATGTGACATCACCAAGAACCACTCAAATAATGGGGATTTAATTCTGAAAACGTTTATTATTTGAATTTGAATTACCTTAAAATGGAACTATTTGAAATTATTAGTGAGCTTTTCTTATGTTGGTTTGTTTATGGTGGGGCTCGTTGTAGTTAAACTGTAAAGTTTTTCATGAACTGTAAAAAACTTCACACTAAAATCATTAAAACTGGAAAACTGGAGTTTTTTTTGCCTGCAAAAACTAAAAGTCATCAACATAAATATTCCATCAACATAAGTCGTCAAAATCGACGAAAAGGTTATTGAGAAACCTTTTTCCACTGCAGGAACTGTAATATATAAGATATACTTAAAGGAGTGTTTGAAAAAGAGTCTTTTATAAGATCTCACAGACAAAACATTATTGTCTTGATCTAGAAACTTGTTATTTTTTAAAAGACAACTTTCAATTTTATGGTAACAACAAAATGGAGTCACTTTTGTGGCCAAGGACATAAATCCATTAAGCTGCCCAGAATTACACTCTATTAAACCATTTTAGGAAATTGCGAAAAACATTCTAAAAAGCTAAAAGCATTGATGATTTTAAGAAAAGAAAACAAGCAGCTAGAAATCTACGATAAAATTATGCAAGCGCTGATGGCTAAGGTAAAACGTTAAACCCGCTGGTTTTAGCGTCAACAAACCAAAAATTATCTTTAATTATTAATTTAGTTACTTAAAATTAATTAGTCAAGTATGGTATAACACTATTTAAAAATAAAAAAAGCAAAAAAAATTTTTTCAATTATAAATTTTTAAAGTAATATAATTAAATATGAATTTTAAGTTAGTAGCTGACATCAATAAGAATCATTTTTTAACAATAAGCAACTTTTTTCATTTTTCCGTAGCAAAGTTTTTCTTATTCCGTTGCTAGACAACTTCTATTCATAGTTGTTGTTTTCTGTACCACTCCACGTTTGTCTCATCACTTTGATTAAATAAAATTTGAAGTAATTGGGAAACGTAAGATCCCTGGTTCAAACCCACCTCTGGTAAAGTTTTTCGACATCGGTTGGGAAGGAGGCGTAAACTTCCTATTAAATACTCTTCCGCGGTGCTCTGTGATAAGACCGCAAGGACTTCTTAGGGCACCTAAAAAAAAATAAAAATTCTAATTAATAAGTCGGGTATAAGAATGGGAATAAGAAAAACATTTGCTTTTACTCAGCGTTTTTAAAGTAGTTGTTTAGCTTAACGTGAATTATAATTAAATTTACTACTAATAAAATATAATTAAAAAAAAAAATTATTTTATTAGTAGTCTACCACCTTCAACAGCACCAGTAGTCAACAACAGAAATAAGGCCTTGTTAGTTTTCTTATGGATTTAGTCAATAGAATATTTGGTTATTAGCAGATTAGTTTCATCAGGTAGAAACATCAATACCAGCGTTAAGTTCATTAATGTATACTAAAAAAGATTTGATGAGTACTAAAAAAGCAGCCAAGAGAAAGACAGGGTTCATGGAAGTTTTATAAATCCATTTTCCCTGATTACTCCCTGATTTTTACCCAATTTCAAGTAATTTTTCCCTGATTTTGGTGGTAAAAAATGTATAATTTTTCTTGTTAATGTTGAAGGATATAATACTTTTACAACTGAATCCATGTTTTTTTAATATTTTTATCAGAATTTTCAAACCTTATTTTTATTCTTATATTAGAAACATAAAATCAAGATTTTTTTTAAAAGATATTTTGAACAAAGTAATAATATATAAACCTTATATGAGATCTATTCTATATAAAGTTATTTTACTATCTTTCTCATTTGATCTAAGATTTTATTAGTGCCTGTTATTGAACTTAGATACATTCTATATCTTTCATGGGCTGATTTTATATTGATTATCATTTTGTTTGTAATTTCAATTTAATGTGGCTGAAGTTTATTTGATAGCATATGATCTTTAACTAAACGTCATGCAGTTATTGATTTTTCATTCAAATTTTGTTTGAGTACTGTGGCATTTATACTAAAACCTCTCTCAACTGAAGCTTATCCATAACTTAGCGTCAAATTGATTCCAACTTGTTATATTTAATTAGATTGCACTTTTTAAAGAAGTCGTCTAAACTATCACTATTTCTATTGAATTCATGAAAATTGTTTTAATAAACCATTGATTCTCTAAAGAAATTTGTAAATTGATTTATAGCTTTATCGGAAAATACTTGTGAAAGATATTTTAAGCTAATCAAGTGGGTCAATATTGATTTGTACTCCTCTGTGTTTTCTAGAGTCATTGTTATCAATCCAATAGGGTTAAAAACCTGAAAATTGCATACAATGATAGACCCTAATGGAGTTCACTCAATGAACTTTTTAATTAGTCGTACAAAGCAATCTTTTTGGAAACTTTGAATATCAGTAATTTTGCTTTTAGGTTTTTTCATTAAATTTGACATGAGCCCAAGTCATAGGTTCATTTCAATCATGGATAGATAATTTTGGCACAGCAATGTTAAAAAAAGGAACTAACTTGTAGTTAAATCTTGCTGTTAAACAATAGTGCTTGAAGTCTTGTGGATTTATTTTTATAACATTAATAATGATAAATATTGTTTCTGTTAACTTGTTTGATGATCCTTATCAATCCAAGTGGATTATAAAAATCACCTATCCTTGTGAGCTTTTAATTTAATTACTGGAAACATAAATACTTATTATATCTTTCTTTTGTAAAGAAGCTAATCTTGTTTCAGCTACAAATCCTGGTTAAATTAGATTTCCCTTTAATAGATAATCTTTTTTAAGAAAATCAACTTCTGCTATAGACCAATTATCAATAACTTTGTGTTTCACAAACAAGTTCAGTATAGTCCACAACAGTCTTTCTAAGTCACTATTCATAAATGAAATCATTAGCTTGTCAGTTTGGTACGACAACAAATATGGCTATACTATCCTGGCAACAAAACTGAAAACTCCATATTTTGATCAAGTTTGTCTTTAACAGCTTTTTTGACAATTAAAAGGGATATTGATTTGGGTTGGTTTAAAGGTGGTAACTTTTCCCAAAACTCAATTAATTTAAATATATTAGGCCACATTTCAATGCCACAATCTTACAACAACAGATTTATTTTTAACCCACCAAAATAAAAGAGGGTATTTTGTTGCGTCTGTGACTGTTTCATAATCTTGACGTCTAGCCAAGCTGTTGTGAGGAGTTTTTAACACCCTTTCAGAATTTCTTTTATATTCCATGGTGTTGATTCTATAGCTGTTTTAGGTACCATGAATAACATGCAAGAAGCAACTTCCAATATTTATTACTGTGGCATCTCGTTGTTCTTTTTGTGATTATTTAGAACATCTAGAAATTTTAATTTGTAGAGGGTTCATGGAAATTTGAAACATTTTACTTGAATCAAATCTTGATAAGTATTCGTTAAAATGAGTAAGAAGGTCAGAAGCTGTAGAATGACTGAGAAAAGCTGACGTCCAATATCTTACTTAACTTTTTTTAACTTTGTTATTGACATCCCATTATCGAACGAGTAATCTGTCATGTTTTAGTTATGTCCTTCAAACTCTCATCAAAATATGATGTAACAATCTGATTTTGTGATTTCTTCTTGTAAGAATGTCTTGAAGTATGGTGCCAGTCCATGGTTAACAATGAATGATATTTTTGAGGAACTCATGCTGAAATTTTCTGCTACCTTACTGTCAAAAAAGATTTTTTTAAAAGAGTTGTTTAAATTTGCACATGAATTATTAGAGTAGTAGAATTCTTATGTAGATCTCAGTGCTCAAAAGATCTCAGCAATAGTTGATAAAGATGATTTATAGAGAAATCAATAGTCGTTTGTTTTTTGGTGGAAATTGTTGTACTTTTTTTCTTCACATTTAAGCGGCTCAGCTCGCAACTCTTTTCCATTAACAAAGAAATAGCTAACAGGATTGAAGTAGATTGATGCTTTTTACCTAAACATTTTTATAAATATGGTGTTGTAACCAATCTTCTTGAAAACAGGTCTTCTCTGAAGTCGTATTTTATGTTATTATATTTAATTAAACATATGGTTACTATATTTTATAAAAGTTATAAAACCACTGTAGCGAGCAACTTTTAATAAAAATAAAGTATAAATTTGTATGTTACAGAATAACTTCAAGTTATATATAAACCATTCCCTGAGCTTTCCCTGATTTTTAAAAAAAGTTCCTTTACTTTTCCAGGTATTCCTTGATTTTTTACAATTTAAAAACTTTTCCCTGGTTTACCCTGAGCACCGTGAACCCTAAAAGATTCCTAAATTTACAGGTTTCGCGTTGGCATAAAAAAAAAAAAATCGTTTACGGTAACCAACAGTGTTCTGTTCTTAAGATTTAAAATATTTTAAAAAAATTTCGTTTCTGTACCATTTGTAGGTTTAGAAACAAACATAAGACTTGTTTTCGTAACGTATTCAATTATATTAAAAAATTATTTAGGTATTTAAAATCTTGTTTTAACCAACAAGTTAGGTATATAATTTAATGTAAAACTAAACAAGATTTCTTGATATAACTAGATAATATAGATAAAGAATACAAAGAATTGTACAAATTAAATTTGAACACTTCGTCGTTGAGTAATAGAGCGATCTAAAATAAACAATGTTTATAATTAAAGTAAAAGAAATAACCTAATTTCTATAAAAGTAGAAGATAATTTCATAATTTCTAAATAATGAATAAATTAACAACAGTTTAAACACCAAAATATTTTAAGTTTTATATATTAATAAAAACAATTTCTTGTATCTTATTTCGCTTTTCAAGTCATTTATTTCAATCATTTCTTGCTTTAGTTAACATTTCTGTGGAGTCAACTTCACAAATATCGCGAATAAAGCTCGGGCTCTAACGTTTCGTTTTAATATAATTAAAGCAGTTCAAAATATCGGCGATAAGAAAGTGAAATAGATAGAGTGAAATAGATAAAGTAGATAACAATACAACTTTAGTAGTAGTAGATAACAATACAACAGCCTTAGCTACATAACGCTAATCAAAAAATTAAGCCAAAATTTTTTTTGCGCAGTGGCGTATATCACATTTGCTCTTAGCATTTATAATTTTAACTACGTTGCATACAACTGCACAGCAAGATATAAAACTGGTACAAATATATCATTTCACAAGTCAGAGTTTGATTTCATTACAATAGTAATTAAAAAAAGGTTTAAAGAAATAACTTTGTAATTGATATATTTTGTATTTATTAGAATATATCTAATAAAAATATATTATACTTTTTTAATTAAGGTAATAAAATCTATCTATATGAAATAAATTTCTAATTTGTGTTTTTGCTACCAAGTGACGTCACATACTCAAACAAATTTGGCTTAAACGATATACGAAGAAGCAGCGTCTATCAATTTTATTGGTCAACAAAACAAAACTACTAACTTAATTAAATAACGTTAAAAAAAAGAATATAATTCTATAACTTACATATTATTTATTCATAAACCTCTTAAGAATGTTCTTAAGTTTAATGTTAAAGTTTTTGTCATATAAAAATATATAGCATATATTATCACAAATTAATTATATAATAACTTAAGCTTGGCCATTTAATAAACAAGTATTTCTTGTGAATAGAGAAGGGATCAGGAAAAAAATTTTAAAATACTTATATCACTCTAAATAAATATAAGTCATTTATTTTTTTTCAAAATACTTCTTTTTAAGCACAAACATATTTGTTTATTAATTTAAAAACTTTTCTGTGCCACTTTACGAGGATACATTTCAGATGTATAAGGCTGCGCAGAGCTCAACTTACTATCATTTCTTGGTTTGCGACTATCTGGTTTTCGTACATCTTTATTGAAGATAGGTCCATACTTAAAATCGAGTATTCTTTCATGGTGTTCTACTAACGTATTCAACTAATGACAAAATAAGCATTAAATAGCATTAATAATTAAGAAGCATTAATAACAACAACAAAAATTTTTTTTTGGTATATATTGAAATATTTATAAATGGTGTTAAATACAAAGGAATCAACGTAAAACTTGGCCGTTTACTCGCTAATAACTATATTTTACCGTTTTTCTCAAAACTAACTATTTTAAGCTTGGTTCACTTGTGTTTAACACCATCCAAATATAGCAAACCAATTAAACATATTGTTCTTTTAATTATTAAAAAGCGTTTTCAATAATAAGGTTTTAATGTATATATTTTTATATTTATTCTTCGGCTAAAGACTAAATTTGACTTGTAACAACAAATAAAAAAAAAAGCAAAAGAACTTTTACGAACCATTTTCCAATTTTTAATTTCACCTAAATACTTATTAATTACAAAGTAATTGTTTATTATAAACAAACAAGTTACTTTATTTAGCCATTTCATGAAGCGAAAGCACATTTGACTAATTTAATTTTTGGTAATTTGCCAATAAAAATGTTGATTGTTAATGTTAATTTCAGTTTTATAGATTTAGGCGATCTCAGTTTTAGGTCTATATAAAAAGTTCTAGGTCTATATTAAAAAATAAGGTTAAATTCAGTTTTATAGATTTAGGCGATCTCAGTTTTAGGTCTATATAAAAAAAGTTCTAGGTCTATATTAAAAAATAAGGTTAACACTTTAAGGTCTTAAAAATTTTTTTTTTTTACTAATTGACCCTAAATATAACAGAAAAAATATGTTTACCCATGGCTTTGCTTTATTTTTCATAAAAAATAGGTTTTGAGTGTAGCACTAAATTGTTTAATTTTTATTCTGCCAAAAACACTATGACCTAAGTGCAAGCACTAAAAAAAAATAAAAAAAAAATATATATAAAAACCTAATTTTATTCACAAGTAAATTACAATATTGACTATGGATATCCTATTTTACACGAAAGTCAGTCTTAGTATGGTAAAGTTCAAAACAACCAGTAGGGTGTAGTCATGGTTTTTTTTCCACCACCATGTATTTTTCTGTCACTGCAGACTAAACAGTCTTTGGCATTATTACTTGGAACTTGTGCAATAAAATGTGGCTTTTGGTTGATGCGTTCATTGTCATCTAATGATCCCCTTTCTCTTTATTCTTAAATATTATGACATGCTCCACTTAATTGCTCAATGAGGATTTGTCTTTAGGTTAGGCGTCGAAGTTCGTTTTTACCATTGCCTTCAGTAAAATATTTTTCTCCGCCATTTTAAAGACTTGCGTAGAAATGAATAGCTGGAACAATGGTGATCAGCTCAGTCAACAGCTCCCATATGTTTCGAACAATTTACAATAACAGTTGGATTATCAATGTCTACAATACTTTGTTTTGTTCTTTGTTTTGCAACTTCAGTTGTTGAATCATGGTAAGTATTCATCATCAGAATGTAGTCTGTCCTGCAATACCAAAACCATATCATTGAAAGAGTGTACATATGCAGAAAACTTCATGCTTCTTTAATTTGTTTTTTTTTTTATATCTTCAGGTAACTGCTTTCTATTTTTCATTATTGTCCCTGTAGTTTGTATTTTTATTTTGAGGAGCTCTTGTGCAAGAGGAAAATTAGTAAATAATCTGTCAGTAAATAAGTGATAACCACTACCTTGGGCAGCCTTTTAAATCTCATCACACAAATGCAACACGATTCGACTTGTAAACTGCATTATAGGTCTTGCCAAACTTTTAGTAGTACAGTTACCATAATACGATTCAAAGAAAATATCATAACCTGTTTCACTATCAGCTAAGACAAAAACACTAATGCGAAATACAACTCTACCTTTGAATGCAATAGTACTTTTATCAATTGCAATGTTACGAGATGAGACAAAATTTCTAGAACAGAAACTTTTTATTTCTGATACAACACGATGCACTTTCCTTGCACGTCTATTCAATTCATTAGATGGATTTGATGGTGAGGATACGTGCAGCATCCAATGTATCTGAAGAAACCAAGTTCGAGAGAAAACTGATGAAAAAAATGGTAGTTCAGCTAATCACAAGAAAAATAATGTTTTATACTTGATTTTTCATTTAAAGTCATATTCAAAATAGCACTAAAGTAAGCATGAATTTCTTCAAATGTCACATCTTTCCATTTATGCCAAATAGAATGAGATTCCAATTAGTTATTTTCAATTTTTGACTTATACGTTTACAATGTCTGCAATACGCTTACATGTCTGCAATGTAACTCATCAGTAAATAATAACTTGAAAAAATCTAGTTCACGTGTTAAGTTTATTGAATGCTGAGGGCCTACATTTGCTACTGGGAATGGCAATGCTTCAAATGCCGGAGTATCTTGCACTACATTTATCCATCCTATGTTCAAAGCAAGTCCATTATCATCAATTTCATTTAGTTCAATATCTTCCTCTGACTCTGATATCTCTGAGATTTCAGTCTTAGATTTACTAAAAGTGTATTCACTGTCATTTTCAGAACTTGTTTCATCCAATGCCTTTAATACTTCTTCAGTTGTATAACGTTTCCTTGCCATTTGTAAATAAATTTTTAAAAAAACTTATAAGAGTATAAGGTTAGACCATTAAAAAATGTTACGGATAGCACTAAGTTGAAATCACACTATAATATTACCAATTGAATCTAGTAAATTGCCCAAGTAGTTTTAAAAGATTATATTTAACATAGTAGATGTCCCGTGGCACGAGACATTAGACCGTAACGACAACTTCATGATGTCTTGTCACGCGGGACATTGGACCGCAAAGGGTTAAGCCATTTATTTAGTTAACTCACTTGCAGTAAAACAGTTTTTTAATTAATGCACTGATTTCTTTTAAGCAATACATATCATATGTATGACATTTAACCAGCAATTGTTAATCTAATTGTTACATTAAGTATTCAAAAGTAACTTAAAACTTGTTAAAGTAACGATGTGTTTTATAAGTGATAGAAAGTTTATCAAACTACTATTAAATACCAAAAAAAAAAAAAAAAAAAAATCATTTGTTAGTAAGATACTCTGATTTATATTTCAAGAGAAAATCAAGAGAAAATTTTAAACTTGTTTTTGGTGAACTTAAGGAAGTTTGAAAAAAAAAATGCTAACGATTTGATCAGATAACTTCTGGTTTCATTGCTTACAAGATTTTTTTGGGAAAAAAAACTAAGCAATTAAGTCGTAATGTTAAAGCTGGAAAAGAAAAAAATTGTGATTTTGTAAAGAATTTGAACAACTTTGTGACATCTTATTGTTAAATGCATATGAACAACTGCTGATATCACAAAAATGGAACATTTTAATTTTTTTTCAGCTGCTGATATCAAAAAAATCAAAATGGATAAGACATTTTATCAAGATCAAAAGAGCAGAAAAAATAACATGACCACTTATATCTATTTTAAAATTATTAAAAGACCAAGAAGCAAGACTGAGCATAGATTTTAGGAAAAGGTTAACTGAAGATAGCAAACTGAGCGGCTTTGAGGTCAGTGAATTACTTGATAGGACTGATGAAGAAAATTAAAGTTGTACAGAATGTACTCATTTACCTTTAAAAATAATGAAACAAATTCACTTGAAGTATTGGCAGAGCAGTTCTCAAAAGATCCATAGCAGTTGCTTAACAGTTTGCCAACAACTTATTGCATAAGCGGAGGCTAAATTAATGTTACCTCAATGCATTAACCTTACATCCTCAAAGACAATATAAATGCAAGAAAACAGTTTGATCAATTATAGCTGACTGGAAAATTAAACCCAAAAATCAATTTTGCACTAGGATTCTGAGCTTTTTTATTTAGCCACAGCTCATGAAACATGTAGCAGTTCTTATAAGTGGATCTTAAAAGACATACTTTATATATACATTATCCTGGTATTCAAAGAACCTGCAAGTCAAATTTAACTTTTGACCAAAATACACATTACAAAAATTACCTTATCTGACAACTGTAAAGTTAAGCTTTGTAAGTATGTAGGTTCAGCACCATGGTGAAGGACAAGAGTTTCAGTGGGTTCATCCCAAGATGCCTATGAAATTAAAAAAAAACAACCACTTAAAATGTTTAAACTCAAACAATAATTTAGTAATATTACTAAATAAATATCTGAATAATGAACAATTTATAATAATTAAATACAGTAATTTAACATTAATTAAATAAAGTTAATACAAAAAATTTACAGTTATGAACAGATTAGGCGGACAAGGGCTTTGGGGAATCCATAAAGTATGTACATAGTACATACTTTATGGATTAGAAGTGGTCTAAAAAAATCTACATTTCATTTTCCTGAAGAAAGCAATTTGCAATAAAAAAAGTAGTTCATCAACTTTAGGGGTGCCAAAGTTGCCTAGAAAAGAACCAACTTTAAGGCACAAGGGAAAAGATGAGTTCAATGATTTTATATAATAAATATTGGTAAAATAATTAGTCTTAATTCGTTAAAAGAACAGATTTGCCCACCAGGATTTACATTTAAGAAACTTCATGATAGTGTTGTTTTCTATAAACTCTGTTTTGATGAAACATCAGGTATACCAACTGTGTTTGAGTCAATAACAGTTAATAAAGATCTTAATGTTTCATTGTCCTATAAAGGATATCATATTTCTTTACCTGAACGGTTTCGCAGAGGTCATAATTGCAAATTAACAAACTGTAGTATGATTTTTCTGCCTATATTTGAAATAAAGCTAATGCTTTTAATACAATTTTTACAGAGTTAAATGAAATAAGATACTATTCTCCACAAGGCAGACCTCCATATTCTGCTTCCGTTATACATAATGCATTAATTTTGCGTCACACTTCAGCACAACAATTGTTCTAACAACAACAAGTTGATGTTAGAACAATTGACGTTACCATCTTTTAGTTTATTAAGAAAAATTCAAAGTGGTGATATAAATGCATTTAAGGCTATAAAAATTTTATTACAAATAAATTGTGTATCAAGCAATAGAGTTATTTTCCTGAAAGGAATGATGCAGCACAACTTTAATCCTTTTTTCATAAGTTGTTTATCACACTTAATTCAAAGCAGAAATTTAATACATCCAAGCTCTTTGACACTCATCAGTATTTAAATGCGGCTCTCGCGTCTAAAATTCTGGCCAGCCCTGCCATAGATCATCCAGATCATATTTAAAAAAATAATTTAGGTAAAATATCCATATTTAGGTCATATTTTAAAAATTATTTGGGTAAAATATCCAGAAAAAATCTGGAATATATTTTCCCTAATTTTACTTTTAAAGATGGTTTCAATTTTTTTTCTCCAAATTTTGTGAGTGATGAGTGAAAAAGCTTAGAAAACAAATATATTACAAAAACATACACGTTAACTTGTATGCATGGAAAACATTTTGGATAACCAGAAAACTGAAAGCTGAAAAAAAAATATATATCTGGAACTCTGGATATATATGAAAAAAGATAATCCCTGCCATACAGGTTTTATTAGTCTTTTTTTAAATAGGTTATAATTGGTATGGAATTGGTATCAACATTTTAACCATTAAGCTATGAAAATCCAAATGCAAAATATAAAAAAATTATCTTAATATCCATATGCAAATTATCAAAACTTATCAATTTGAACTCAATAGACGTAATTATCAATATTTTCGAATTAAAAATTAAAGAAATTATCAAATATTTCTAATAAATGCTGTTGTTTAGCAAAATTATTTATTAATTCAAAATGTCATTTCAATAGGAGAACAAAAATGTTGCAGCGATCAATGGCCAAATGGATAAACCTAGAAAAAACTTCATATTGTTTAAATAAAAATAAAAAAGATTCAGAATATATAATATAGTGATCTTTTTTTATATATTTATTATATTTAAGAGTGTACAATCTTAATTTTATTTTAGTTATTGGGCTCTATGAAAAAACATGCTTATTTTTAGCTTTAACAACTTAGTTTTGTTATTATTTAGTTTTAACTATCATTATTTTTATCAACTCTGTATCTATTACTTACATATCTATTACTTACAACTATTACATATCTATTCAAACTATATTTAAAACATAATAGCAAATATTTGAAAAAGAGATATGTGTTCAGATTTTAAACATTTCAGTAATTAGAGGATCTTATTCATAAAAGACTTTAAATAGAGAATTTTATAGAAATCAATATAAAACACTTAAAAATAAAACATTAATTAAATATAAAACCTGTAATTCTTCACTAATGATCATCTTGCTAATAGTACTATGGACAACTGAAGATGGAAGATCAAACATTTGAGCTAGACTATGCATACTACAAAAAGAATGAGTTAAGTTTTTTTTATAATCAAGATTTTGTATACTTAGTGAAAACACTTAAAATACCCATATTTAAAACAAACAACAGAAAATAAATGAATAACCTTATTGAATCATAAACCTTGTTGTATGTAAATAAGTATGTACGAAGACTCTCTTCCTGAATTTTTCTGAAAAAAAAAAAAAAAAAAAAAAAATTTAATTACTTTTTTCTCATACAATTATATTTTTAGAGTAAATTTGAAAATACTAAATACCAATGCACATTAAGTTTAAGATTTTAAAAAACTCAACAACAACAAAAAAAATGGCTAAAAATTATATATATAAAAAGAATAATTAGAAAAACACTGTAATGACTCTCTAAACACTGCATAAAATATATATTTTTATTTTACAGAATAAACACTTAACCTTGTAATCATGCTTTTAACAGCATCGGAATTTGGAAAAAGTTCCCAGCATGAGACAGCTAAAATATTATCCCTACATTTTTTCCAATCACCAACCTTCATTGCTTTTGAAGCTGCAACTATGTGCTCTCGCATACTTTCAGGAGGCCCTTTAAAAAAATTGATAAAAAATTAAAAATGAAATACTTATGAAAAAAATAAAATAAAATCCAACTTAACTAACACACTAAAGTCTAAAAAAGAGTAGAAGGTCTTCTTTAATTTTTACCTACTAATGCTTGCTTCTCACTATGACGCAACTGGTTTTGAAAACTCTTACTTATTGGTCTTCTTTTATAGACATATTCATTAGCTTAAAAAAAAAAAACTTGAACAATTAACCTTAACAAACTTTAAAATCTTAAAAAAATAAAAAACATAAATAAATTAATAAAATTGATTACCAGCCATATTTGGAATTTCGAGCAACATAGCTGAAGTAAGAAAAACACATTCAATTAATTCCAAATTTACATGCATGTGAAATGGCATCTAGAAAAAAAAAAAAAGAAATCAAATGAGTTTTTACTGCATTGTTCATGTTGAATTAATTACCTAAAAACATGTGAAAAAAATTAATCAATACTGCAAATAGTTTAATTTATTGAACAAACTAAAAATAAAAATAACTTTTCAAAAAGGGCCCTTTTAGCATATTTTTAAATAATCAAATTAAAAAATTGAAATATTTAAAAAATTATGAATTATAAATGACACTTAAATAAATTTTGAATGACCTCATTTTGACAATGAGCTGAAAATCAAACTACATTTATTTTTATGATTTTTTTTTTTTTTAACTTTTAACATATTAATATAAAATTAAAATAAACTTTTTCAATACAAAAAAAAAAAAAAAAAAAAAAGAATGCTTATGCACTTATGTTATTACAATCAGAGTTATTAACAAGGCCAAAAGTAGCTAAGCTAAGGCCAAGATCAAAAGTTACAAGGCCAAGGGCAAGGCCAAGACTAAAAGTTTAAAGGCCAAGGCCTACGCATTTTCAAGACCAAAGACTTAAATTTTTGCCTTACGTTAAGGCCAGTTATTAACAAAACTGAATGTAGCAAGTGCTGTGACAATAAAACCACATTTTGTAAAAATAGACCAAGGTTATGCTCAGAATTCAACGAAATCAATAAGAAAGTATGTATTTTTTTTTAAGGTCAAGGTCAAAATTTTCAAGGCTAAGACCAAGGCCAACAGTTTCCAGGCCAAGGCCTCAATTTTTGGCCTTAAGGCAAAGCCAAGCACTAACAACTCTGATTACAATAAACTGATTTTTCTATAGCAAGAAAAGCTAAAATAATTTATATCAAAAATCATTTATACCATTCTTCGCTTTTCAATTTTTTCTTGTTCAGGGGTACGCTCTGTATTCTTTAGATTCATAAGTCCTTGAGCAAGCATCTCTTTTGCTCTACCAGTAGATTGTATATCTTGTAAAGCATTGTGAGCATCTTTAATCATTCCATGACGAAATGAACACAAACCAAGTTGTACCATAGTACGATTGTATAATATCTAAATTTTCAAATGCACATGTATGTATGCAACCCTCAGAATTAGGGTCAGCATTCAGCAATGCCGACCTAACTGCCAACCTAAAAGTTACTATGATTTATGAGACTTTTGTATCAAATTTTTTTTGCTGACCTGATGCCAACCTCTAAAAGATTAAGGTCGGCAAATTATTGCCGACCTTATTTTTCCTAATTCCGAGGGTTGTGTATATATGTATGTATGTATGCATGTATGTATGTATATATGTATGTATATATGTATGTATGTATGTATGTATGTATGTTTGTATACAATATTATTATAGCTGCACTGTACAAATAGCAACAACAAAAAAAAAACCTGAGTTGGGATATCAGAATGGTGTATATTTTCTTGTAAATGAGATATTAACATCAAATCTCGAGCTTCGAACCAACGATTATGTTTAGCATGATGAAAAATGTGACAAAGCATAGCACGAGTTCGAATTCTATCTGATCCATTAGAGTAAATATATTTACACATTCGAGACATAAGAGAAGAGTCATGATCATCTTTACTGTCTTCTACTGTAGTATGTCTATCAACTTTAATACTTTCAACTTTCTCACTTGCAACACCTTGTTCTTCATTTAGACGTTTTACTTCGACTAATTTAATTTGTGATTGAATTTCCTTCAACTGCTTTAAATCTACTTTAAAGTAAGTGTGTTCAATTCTAAGTAAATATAGTCGACTTAATGTTTCTGGTGATGAAGGATGTTTTTCATGATGTTGGATCACTTGATCAATAAGTGAAACAATTTCAAGTTCATCTTTTAATCTAAAACAATTACTTAAAGTTCATCCTTTAATCTAAAACAAGTTCTTAAAATTAAGTAATTATTTAAGTAATTAAGCAAAATACTAATCTAATTTAAAAAATTCCATTTCTGTGTAAAAACAACCATTTTATAGCTGGTGTTAAATTCAAGAATCATATTATATAGTTTACTTTTGAATATATTCTGTTGAGTGACCATCACAATTTTGAAGTATTTTGGTGAATTCATTATCAAGCCGCTCAAGTAAAGTTATAGGGTCTTCTAGAAGTTGATATTGCTGAGTTTTATCCTAAAATTAAAATTCAATTTGTATATATATATATATATATATATATATATATATATATATATATATATATATATATATATATATATATATATATATATATATATATATATATATATATATATATATATATATATATAATGTGTAGGTGAACTTAAATGCATTTGTTTTACTATTTTGAATGGTATTTATTATTTATTTATAATACAATTTTTATTAACACATTAAACATAAAAAATGAGACTTTTTTTCAGGCTTCATAACTTTTCCTCTACATACATTATAAAGAAAGTTAATTATACTTTTAGAAAAGATATCTTTATTTTATACTTTATTCTGTAAAAAGAATTTTATGTATAAGTTTTTATTTTAACATAAATAATATTCTATTTGAAATTTGTATTGTAAATTATTAAAGAAAATTACTAAGAGAAAAAACTTTGATAAAAAGATAAAAACCATGCTTTCATTTTGAATAAGGAATCATTTTTCACTTCAAGCAACAGCTCACTTACACGTAACAGCAAGTGAACTGTTGCTTAAAAAAAGATAAGAAAAAAACATACCTCTTGTGGAATTTATAAACCAGAATGCCAGGGTTCACAGGGAAACTAAATAAAACTTTTTAACTCGTAAAACCTTAATGTCACTTTTATTTAACAAACCATTTTATTTATAAATCTAGAACCATGTTATTTTATTTTTCTTTATATGATTCCCTTTTTATAAAGCTTTAAAAAAAAGTCTCATGTTTAAAGTGTTATCTAGATTATAATATTTTTATTTAAAAGCTTTTTATTAAAAAAAAAAAATTTGATTAAATTATTTTTACTATTTATTTAACATTAATTTCACATTTATTTACTCATGTAACAATTAACATAAATATAAGCAACAAAATTAGAAAAATATTTTTTTAAATACCTCAACATTTTCATACTCAGATTGATTGAAAAGTATATTTGGATTGGCTGCTATTAGACTATATATCTCCTTTGCAGTATCCAAAAGTCTAAAAATACAAAACTCATCAAAATTATTGTCAGTATCAGAGAAAAAGACCATACAGGTTTCAACTCTAGGATTTATAGAAGCCTTTATAGGACTCAAAGATCAAAAATCATACCTGTTCCACATATCTGGTTTAAGTGCAACATCTGTTCCCATAGAAGAATCAACTATAGCTGATGCAATATTAAACAAAAGCTTCAAACAAAGAGCTGGACCAAGATTATGTTGTTCACTTATATTCTTAAGCTGTACAAAATAGTCAACTTGTTCAGAACGGTCAGTCCCCTTTTTTCCTCGGACAGCAAGAATTTCATGGAATTTCTTCAAAATTACTTGATGATTAATTTCAGTATCTTTTGGAAATAACATTCTCATTTTTTCTGATGTTTTTGAGACTTCTGTCCAACCGTCATCTTGAACAGTCTTTGTCTCTTTTGGGCGCTCTCTTTTAACTCGTTTTTCTTTTCTTTTATCATCTTTAGAAGACGCATCTTTTAAAAACATCCACGCACCCCATTGCCGACGACCACCTTCTGGGAGCTCATCATCAGAACTTGACTCATCTGAATCTGTTCCGAAAAAATCATCACTATCGTCATCATCATCACGTGGCTAAATTATTTAAAAATAAAAAATAAACTCAAATTTAAAGAAACATACAACGAAAGTAAAATTAGTCATATTTACAGGTTTTGCTGATTCAACTTTACTCTTAGGTTTAACTTCTTCAAAATCTAAAATTAAAATAAAAACAAAATAATTTTGTTTTAAAAATCTGGATTAATATATAATAGACAATAAAATAACAGTGGAAAAAATATATATTTAACCCATATATAAAAATATATACATTTAACCCATGTTCACATTTTAGATGCAAGTGAGAAAAGAGCAATAGTATGAAAAAACAAGAAACTCATTTTTTTTCCAAAAGTTTAATCAACCCATCAAAAATCAAAGTAGAACATGGTATTACTAAGGAAACAAAAAGAATAGTAACTTAGCATAAGTTTGAAATCAAAATCAGTTAAATGTTTTGTTACTCATATTTGTAAGGATTTAGTTATCTCTGTATTCAAATGCCCAGAAAATAAAAAAAATAATAATGTAAAGATTGCATTAAAAAAAAAGTGGTAATAAGGTAATTGTTTTTACCTGATTCTTGATCTGCATCCTCTTCATTTTCCTCTTCTTCTTCTACCTCCTCATATTTATTTGGATCCTATGTAGTAAAAATTTAAATCAACATACTAAATCTTTTTTATAGGTAAATGTTACCAGCACTTACCCCAACTTTTGTACATCTAAATTACCCAACAACTCCCATTTTAGTGTCAAGTCATTAGTAACATACAGCGGGGTGCAAAAAAAAAGCCACACTAATTTTTTTTTTTATATTTTAAGCATAAAATGTATAATAATGCAAAACAAAAAAAATTGGGTGTGGCAGTGAAAAATATAGGGCAGAAAAGGTATGTTTATATATAAACTATTTTTTATAAAAATAAAATCTTTAAAAACAGATTATTATGGACACATTTAATATTTTAGAAAACATCTTACAGATGTAGAAATTGGACAAATTATTGAAGCTGCTGACCAAGGAGAATCTCACAGAAATATTGGAAAGCGTTTTAAATGAGAAAACTCAACTATTAGTAGATTGGTAAAGAAATACGAACACACTGGTAAAACTGAAAGGGCTGTTGGATCTGGGAAAAAACCGAAAACTTCAAAAAAGGAAGATCGCTACATTCTTAATGCTGTCAAAGAAATTCGTAAAATCACTCGTTCTGAGATAAAACTAGATTTGAACCCTACTAATATCTCAAAGTGGACAATATCTTGCAGGATTAAAGCATCAAATGATTTTTTTTTCTGGAAAGCAAATTAAAAAACCTTTTGGTTGTGAAATCAATCAAAAAAAGTGTGTAAAGTGATGCATTGAGCACAAAGATTGGACATGTGAATAATGGGCTAACGTTATCTGGAGCAATGAGTCTCCATTTGTTTTGTATTATAATGGTCGATCTCACTGTTGGAAATTAATTAGGGAAAAATTCAATCCTCAAACGTGCAAGGCAACTATTAAACATGACAAAAAGATTAATGTCTGGGGTTGTTTTAGTGCACACAAAGTTGGAAAACTTTACCGGGTGAAGGGCATTATGGATCAGCATATGTATCACAAAATCTTAATTAACCAGCTTGGACCAAGTATAAAAGAACTTTTTCCTAATGGTGACTATATCTTTCAACAGGATAATGATCCCAAACATACAGCACGGTTGAATAAAAAATATCTAGAATCTAAATTGATTCCAGTTATCAACAAATAAAGATGATCTGTTCTAAATTCTTCTTGCTGGTTAGAATGCTTTTCCAAATGACTTATTAAAAAGACTTGTAGATAGTATGCCTTCTAGATGTGCGGAAGTCATAAGAGACAAAGGATGGCCAATTAAATACTAAAACAGCTTTAACCTAAAAAAGACTTTACAAATCCTAATTTTTTATTATATGTAATATCCAATTATATCATAAACATTGGCTGTAATAGAAGTAACATTATATGAGTTATATAGCACCCCACTGTAGGTCAGTGGTTTATTCAAGAGAGTAAGTAAAGTGGTTTGCTGAGTCAAAATTTTCTGAACATTATTGAAAAACAGCACCATTGAACTTTTGGATAAGATTGGCCTGAAGTATGCCAGTCAACATGATCTGTTAATTTTTTATTCAATTTTATTTCTGTTATATCTTTATATTGTTTAATTAAGTTAAAATTGTTCGAACCACTTTGATTTGCTTGTTCAAAAATTAGATTACTAATTTTTAAAAGATTTATTAAGTTGATAATTTTTAATTTTAACTAAATTTTTATTTTTAACTAATTTTTAATTATTAACACTACACTTTTTAAACACTATTTGAGTAGGTTTAATTCATAACTAAAGTTATTAAAAAAAATTTCAGTTTTTAAAAAGCTGTTGAAAAAAAAATTGAATGTGCTGATAAATTCATGACTAATGCATAGTCTAAAACAAGTCACTTTCATAACAGGTTTATTTATAGTCTTTTTTTTTTGTGAACCATAAATCAACTTTAGACATAAAAAAAATTTTTCCAATAATTTAAAAAATAAAAATTATTTTTATGCTTTGTAAATTTATTTCATTGAGTGCAATTAAGTTATTAAGTTTGAAAATATTTTTTTATATAATGACTTTGCTTGGAAATATTCTATAATAAATGAACCTTATTACTCTTATAGCAATTAAATTAGAAAACATTCTTTTTTTGAATTTTCTTATATTTATTTAATGGAAGATATTAAATCATACTTTGAAGTAAAAAATGAATTATATTTATCTAAAACATGTAAAACCAATTTATGTGCACAAAACTCTGGCACAAAATCATATCACTGGAATCACCTGAAAAGATAATACAAGACACTTTATACACAAGTGAAAGAAGGAAACAAACAGAAAAACGCATGTTGTAATTGATTATGATGTGATTTTTGTGTGATCAATTACAACACGATCTTTTTGTTTAACTTTGTTAAACAAAATGTTTTTTTCCATGGTTTAATAAATCAAATTAAAACTATTTTTACTAGTTCGATTTGCTTGTTCAAAAATTAGATAAAACTTATAAAATGTTTAATAATAAGCTGTCTGATATCATACTAAAATAGCCTGCTTCTAGGGGCTCCAATACACACATCAACCAAAAAATAGGTAATACATATGGTAACATTTAGTAGAACAAGCAAAAAATTTTACCAAATGCTATCTATATTGACTGTAGTAAATATAGAGATATATCGACTATAGTGTATGGAGACATTTTCTACCATTTTTTGTTAATTAATTTCAAGAGTTACTCTGATTTTTATTTTTTTTTTTTTAAATACAAACAGTTGTAAAAGTAGTTAAGCTGTAAATGACTGCAATATAAAAAGTAGCTGTAACATCTGTATATAAAGCAGCTTTAGCCTTATCAGTATTTTAAAAATATAATCAATTGTTTAAAACATACTTGATATAAATTACCTTTTTGTAATCAACTATCTTCTCTTCAAACTCACGATTAAACTTTTTAACTTTTTGTCGCAATGAAGCAAGAGCCTAAAAAATTTTTTTTTGGTTAAAAAATGAAAGTGCAAACATGTAAACATGTAAAAAAAAAAGAACACTTAAACTTTGACAAATTTAAAACTGCAATGAGATAAGGGATAATTTAAAAAAATTGCAAAACTACTAAAAAAAAGTTTAAAAAAGCATAACTTTTTAACAAAAAATAATAATCATGGAATATTTTAAAAACCACAAACTGTTTCACACTTATATACTGACGGGGTATTAGCCAGGAATACATTTTTTACCACGTTTTTGCAATATTGGAAATATTTATTACTATTGTTTAAAAAAAATTGGGATTGTTTTATTAAATTTGTCCTATTATTTTGAACTAAAAAAAGTCATTAAAATTTGGGAATTTTAAACCCATTGGGAATTCTGCGTTATACGTGGTGCCATTGGGCTGGCTAAAACCCTGACTGATAATGCAATAAAATGAAAACAATGTGTGTGTGTGTGTTTGTATGCGCGTAAGTGTGTTATATAATATACAAAATCATTATATATAATAATATAAAAATCATAAACCTTTGCATTTAATTTTGATAGCTTTTTCCTGCCTTCTGCATCTTCCCATTGCTAAAACAAATAGTTTTTAATTATATAAAATTTATTTTATGTTGATATTTTTAACATATGAAATTTATAGGATTATATTAAATATACCAAACAAATAATAATCATAAAACTATAAGTTATATAAAAAAACTTAATTTCGAAGTGGGAAAAGTAACTAACCCCCATTAATGTTAGATCTGGAATATTAAGTTAATATCAATGCTGATATCACAGCTATGTAAAAAAAAAAGTAAATAAAATGATTGTTAGAATAACATATTATATAAATTTAATATTTTGTTGAAAGTTGACAAATGCCAATTCCAGACCTAATTATTGATTTGCAGAAAATGAAAACAATTTTTTAATCTTCATTATAAGTATCAGTAAAAAAATATACAAATTTTCAATGAGTTAAAGATTCAACATTCATTTCACACTAGTATATAACATAACACAATTACATAAAAATGCTAAACAAATTTGATAACAGTGCACACATCAGGGAGTAATAACAAGCACATATCAGGGAGTATTAATGGGTAAATTTTATAAATGAAAATCTGCTCAAGTACAAAATGAATTTGTAATCATTAGCATAAGCGCAAGCTTGCATAAGAGCAAAGTTGTTGACTTAATAAAATGCAAACCAACATAAATGCACCAAAAAAAATTCACTAACACTGGCATAAGAGCAACCTTACAAAAAAATTTATACACATACATTGACAAATAAGTAAAAACATTCATTTTTTTATTTTGGTTGGGAAAGCTGTATTTAAATATTTATTTTAAATAATTAAAAACCTTGAAAAAAATTACTTTCTAAACTGAAAACATACAAATGTACTTCTGAAATTAGTTTATTTGTTTTATTATTAAAATTCCTTAAAATTCTTGTATCTAAAATACTCTTTGGACTGAGCTATGTATTATCTTAATTGGTTTGAAAAAATTAAAAGTTCACCCTTAACATCACCACATAATTGGCAAGAACTGGTATTAAACCTTAGACTTTCTATTGTTTTTGTTCTCTCTAATGTTCTCTATTAAACCTTGACTCTCTATACAGCTGCTCAGGATTCTAACTAATTTTAGTAATTAATGCATTAAATGCTAAAATTTAAAATTTTTTTCACCAATTCAAAAGGCTTAATGTCTTTATTATAAGTATCACTAGAAAATATGTGAACTTTCTATAAGTTGCAAATGAATATTTCTTTTGCACTGATATACAATGAAATCAATTTACACAAAAATTGTATAACAGATTTGTTAACAGTGCCCATAATAAGTGATTAAATAAAGATTTGAACAAACTTAAGTCTTTAATATAAAAATTTTTAAGTTCGTAAAGTTTTAATATCTTCATTATAAGTATCACTAGAAAATATATAAACTTTCTATGAGTTGCAAATGAATATTTCTTTTGCACTGATATACAATGAAATCAATTTACTCAAAATTTGTATAACAGATTTGTCAAAAGTGCGCATAATAAGTGATTAAATAAAGATTTGAACAAACTTAAGTCTTTAATATAAAAATTTTTAAGTTCGTAAAGTTTTAATATCTTCATTATAAGTATCACTAGAAAATATATAAACTTTCTATGAGTTGCAAATGAATATTTCTTTGCACTGATATACAACAAAATCTATTCACACCAAAATTGTAAAACAGATTTGTTAATAGTGCACATAATAAGTGTTAAAATAAAGATTCTAATAAATTTCAATATTTAATACAAAGAGATTTCTTTAACAATCGAAAAAGTTTAATGTCTTTATTATAAGTATCACTAGAAAGTATATAAACTTTCTATGAGTTGCAAATGAATATTTCTTTTGCACTGATATACAATGAAATCAATTTACACAAAAATTGTATAACAGATTTGTTAACAGTGCCCATAATAAGTGATTAAATAAAGATTTGAACAAACTTAAGTCTTTAATATAAAAATTTTTAAGTTCGTTAAGTTTTAATATCTTCATTATAAGTATCACTAGAAAATATATAAACTTTCTATGAGTTGCAAATGAATATTTCTTTGCACTGATATACAACAAAATCTATTCACACCAAAATTGTAAAACAGATTTGTTAATAGTGCGCATAATAAGTGTTTAAATAAATATTCTAACAAACTTTAGTATTTAATGCAAAGAGATTTCTTTAACAATAGAAAAGTCTTATTATCTTCATTATAAGTATCACTAGAAAAAATATAAACTTTCTATGAGTTGCAAATGAATATTTCTTTTGCACTGATATACAACATCTATTCACAAAAAAATTGTAAAACAGATTTGTTAATAGTGCACATAATAAATATTTTAACAAATAATAAATAAATATTCTAACAAATTTTAGTATTTAATGCTAAGAGATTTCTTTTAGATTGTAAAAACAAATTAGTCAAAAGTAAACATGTTTATACTGTTAAAATTATGATGTTAATTTGCACACACACACACACACACACAAATTAGAATCCTGAGCAGCCGCATAGAAAGTCAAGGTTTTTAAAAAAAATTTTTTTGAGAGTTTTAAAACTTTTAAAAACTTTCATAAAATACCTGCTGAATAAAGTCTTCTAAATCAGCTAATCCTTTAATGAAGAAGTTTGGAATTCCTTCTTTTTGAATAATTGTTTTTGATTTTTCATAGCCTTTCGTTAGATTTTCATATTCTAAATAAAAAATTGTGAACTACAGACCTTGTTTAGAGACTTCATGGCATAATGAAAATGCATAACACATTAAAATGTAACTTAACTTGGCTTACATATTTTTGTTAAAAGTTAAATTGGGTATTTTACAGTATTAGGTTGCAATTAAATTTAATTTCAATCATGTTGAAAAATTATTACAACAATATATAGCGATAACAAAAAATATAAACAAATTTGAATTCAGTATTTAAAAAGAATCTTATACATTTTCTATTATACATAGTTATTTGTTTGCTTTATCACAATTTTTTTTTCCTTTAATGTTAGGGAGCGATTGGTTATGTTTTATAAGTTATAAAAAAAAAATTAGAGCCACCACACCCCAATTTATTCTTACTATTTCAAAGATCTAAACACATTAATAATATATTAATAAAATGTTGATCATTTAATTTTTAATTATCTTTTTAACAAACTATTTTTAATAACAACTTTAAACAATTAATAGTTAGTCTTGAGTATTTTAATTTCTGCGCATGATTTTTTATTTTATTTGTTTTTACAATTAGAGGCTGGGACTTGAAGCAATATGCATACTATTCTGATTTTCTTGAAGAACAATTCAAACAAAATTTTTTTTTTCTCTTTATATTTTAGACTGCCTGAATATTTAAAAATTTTGTATGTGTTAATATCACAATAGTTTAAAAAAATTGACTGCTCTCATAAAAATATATATCAGAGTTGTAGAGACAATTTATTTTACTTGAAAAATGCACAAGCAGTTTAATTTCATAAAAATTACTACATGAAATTGATAAACTTGCAACTTCTGTACATGACTTTCAAGCGTGATCACACATGAACTGCATTTAAATGATTGCTGTGTCTCTATGATGCATAGTGTAATCCTGGAACTTTCTGAAAATCTTTACTAATATTTAAAAAAATAGTATACTGCTGAAACAAATTTTCCGAAAAAATTAAAACTAATTTTATCTAGTAATTAAAATTTACGTTTTTCTGTTCTGTGCATGATTCCGCTTCAAACTTTTATTTTTATTTTTTGATAAAATTACTAATGAATACTATTCCTTGTTTACAAAATTTAAGTTAAAATTAAATGAGAGTAAATTGCCAGTTTTATTATAATGAAATTAATAGACAAAACATATACAAGTTTCTGTGAGTGATTATTCAAAAATTATTAATTACCAACAATGCTCATAAATAAAACTAACATAAATACTTTCTCTGAAATTGAATTTAAAAAATAGTAATAAAAAAAATTATAAAATTGAATTAAACCTGATTATAATTGAATTAATTGCATTAACCATTTTGAAAAAATTTTTCACAAATTATTCATTAACTTTTTATGTATTTAAAGGAAGTTGAATAAATAAATTCTTTAAATACTATGGCCTTACTTTTTCAAGTTTATCTGACAATGCTTTTATAAATTAAATTAATTAATTTATAAACAATTGTTAACTTATTATGACAATTTTGCAAAAACATCAAAATAAACTATTTTTCAATACAATTTGCTGAACAAGTTTTACAAAAAAGAGTAATTAAAAATAGCTAAAAAATAAAATATTTTTAAATTGATAAATAGAAAATATCTTCATTTTTGATAAATATTTGTTTTATTGAGAATAAATAAATTATTATCTAATGTTTCTGCAAAGGATTTGATTACTTCTAGTTTAAAAAAAAACAATTTTACTAATTTTTCAATAAGAATAAAATTTTGTTGATGTACATAAAAAAAAAATTAAAAAAAAAAAAAAAAAAAAAAAAAAAAAAAACAGAATTTTTTTCTTATTATGTATATTATTTATGGTACCAACAGATGGGTGTTACAGTTGTCCTAATACCACTACTTAATTACTTGCAACATTGTTACATGATGTACATCATCTCAAAACTTTCTTGCTTTGTGACATAATAATAGCATATACTTAACTTTACTCTTGACTAACTTCTCACCCACATTTTATGAAATTCCTTTTCAAGCCTTTATCCCATAGCCATAAAATTGCACCTCTTTCTGTTTTTTAAAAATCATTCCATGGTAACTGCTCAAGCAAGTTATCATCACTTGCTATCAACCAAAACTCAATAGTGTGACTTTGTTATTCATATTAACTTTTTATTGTAACTGTTCCTTCATGCTAAAAAAAAGTTTTATTTATCTAGTTTTTTTCTGCAAACATCAGTGCTTTGGAATTCTCTCCTATCATTATGTTTTCCTGACTCATAAAATTTACAGTTTTTTTCAAGTATTCTGTCAATTGCTTTTTTGCTCTTTAGTTATTCTCCTTGTTTTCTGTTAGTTCTTTCTTTTTTGTTAACTTCCAATAAAGAAATATTATGTATAGAATTTTTATTTTTCAATTTATAAAAATAGTTGATTTTATTTCTTAAATTTCTTTCTTAAATTTGTATTTATGGTTTTTCAAGTGCATACTATTTTTAATTGTTAAAAATTCAGCAATTAACAAAACTAAAAATTTCAAATTTTACAAGAATAAAAACCTAGAAAAAATAATTTTTTACCAACAACTTTGTTGTCACTAATTTTTATTTTGATGTAAATACTAATTTTTATTTTGATGTATCACTAATTTTTATTTTGATGTAAATACTTAAGTACAATTTGTTAACAATATTCTTTAAAGAGCTAATATGCACTTACACTTATGTGTTACAAGATTAACATATATTTTTGATGCAGCATTAGAATATGTTTAAAAGGATTTACTTTTCTAGCAAAATGAGATAAAAAAAAAGAGAGAGAGGGGGGGGGAGGGATATAAAAGATTTAAATTAGCATAAATTAAATGACAAAAAGTTTAATTATGTCGAACAAAATCCATCAAACCAAAACCTGATATAAATGCTTATTTTTTTTAACTATTAAAAGAAAAGATTTAAAAAAAAAAAATTAAAAGAATTAATGTTTTTTACTTATACTTCAAAAGTAAACGAGAAATAATACAAAATAAACACAAGTTTTTCAGAATAAGACACTTTGAAATCGAATACTAAGAAAATAACAACTTTTAACAGGATTTTAAAGAGAAAACCAATAGCAGGTAATAAAGAATGTTTAGTATTTGTTACAAATACACAAATTGTAATGGAAAAACATAAACATTTCTTTTATTTTAGAAGCAATCCTATTTCTTTGTGGAAAATAATCTTGTCCCTCAGTTTCAACAGAAGATGGATAAATACTTCTGAGCTATAAGATGTTTATTGTTTGAAGATACTTTTATTTCCTTCATACTAAGCTAAAATGCAATCTTGTTGCATGATTATGTTCTGACTTAATTAAACTAAAAATAATCTTTCAATTTTAGGTGATGTTTACTAGTGTTTTTTGCATAACTTCAGATGTTGAAGTGTTTTAGAAAGTATTTATACTTTTAATAAAACATTTTTATACCAACAATCTTTAAAATTGTTTCATTAAATCAAAAAATATTTGATTTTTAAGTATTTATGTGTTTAGATCTTTGAAATAGTAAGAATAAATTGGGGTGTGGTGGCTCTAAAAGGCCCATGCGGGGTTTTATTATAAAAGCCTATATATGGGAGATTTTACCATATATGATAAATGTAAAGGCCCATACATATATAACATATATATATATATATATATATATATATATATATATATATATATATATATATATATATATATATATATATATATATATATATATATATATATTACTATATATATATATTATATATTTTGGTGATATAAGTAATATATTATATATATTACTTATATCACCAAAAACCTTATTTTAATAAATTGTCAATACAAACCTAAAAGTTCAAGTTGAAATACAAAACCAATTGATAGCAGGGAGTAATTTTACGGGTATTCTAATTGAATTTGACATGTATAAATACTTGGGAAAATAGACTAAATAAATTAATTGTAATAATAAATTGTCCAAACATGCTGATTTGGAAGAATGACAAAGAAAAAGATGCATACAACTTTAATAAATATATTACAAAATTCCCCCTGTTGAACAGCATTGATTGTGTAAGTCTCGCACAAGAACTCAAAGTACTTCGACTCTCTTGGCACACATTGAATTGGTATATTGATTGATGACAATGAAATTAAAAATGGCAAAACAAAAGATTCAGATTCAGCGAAAACCATGTAATCACAGAAAAACAGAAACTTATAGAAAAAAGCATTGTCTAGTGCACCCTGCCTTGTATGGACATACAAGGATGTTTTTTATACTTTATTATATGCTTAGTTATTTAATCAATTTTAAAATTGACGATTGTTATTTTGCAAACTTTAGGCATATTCTACAACCAAGAGAACTAAGCGGATTGTTGGCAATAAAAAATACATTTCATATATATCTTTACATTTTGATGCTTTTTGTTGATTTTGATAAGTTTAAGAAAGTATTTACTGCTTTTACATGTATAAAACAAATTTAGAAACAAATTAGAACATACGCCGAGACACATTACAATCTTTCTACAATGCGGACATATAAAAGGAAATCGCTTTAGATGAGATTGTCAATATATTTGCAGCCGAAAGCCATGAATAGAAAAAGAAGACTTGAAACAGTCTTCTACTTGGATTGTTTTTATTTACTCATGTATGTTTATTTAGTTCATAGTAGAAAGATTGCATAAAATATATTTTCTTTAAATATACTTTTTGCACAGTCTTTATTCTTTTTTAATCTGGCTAAGGACAGGATATTGCAGAGTGATTGCTTAATTTACCCTGTTTTGCATTAAGACCGTCCTGGAACAAATAAATGAAAAACACTTTCAAGTAGAAAAAATGCGCTGTTAAAATAAATATAATTATATACTTATATAAATTATATTTGAATAATACTATATAGAAAAATTATACTTATATATAGATAAATTATACTTTTGGATAGATTTTATTTCAAAATTTGTCATTTAGTTATTTGTATATGTACTAAAACTGTTTAAGTACATTTAATAGCAATACTATGTCCATTAATAGAAACTAATTATTATAAAAACACAAATTGTTTTATTATAAAACAAGTTTATATTGATTTTGAAACATTACAAAACGCAAAACATGAATTCGATACTTACTATATTACGATATATTATTGAATTTATTTTTTTAATTTTACTATCGTTAAAAAGCAATTAAAGGTTCATAATTTTTTGTAATGAAAAAATATCATTTTTTTTTCAATATTTTTAAATATCTACTTTGTTTTTGGAGCAATGTTGTTAGAGTTATTATTCAAAACTAATAATTGCACTTAAAGTTGAATTAATTTAATTGAATTTTTGCAAACATAAATATAGTAAATATAAAAATATTTGTGAATTTTTTTAAGAATATTGAACAAAGTAAAAGGCCCATTTTTAAATGAAAAAATGCCAAAAGGACATATTTACATAAAAAAGTGAAAAGCCTATGCAGTAATCCAGCATGGCCTCTGAGGCCACCTGTTCAGTTATGCCCCTGTTCAGTTCGCATGTATTGCATATTACAATCAAGACTTTTTCATAAGAAATAGTAAAATATTTCCAAACCCAACTAGGTGAAGTCATAGGACTACCTTTTTTAAACAAGACTGCTGCTATTTTGAATGTTTTTTTAATTCAATAACTTTATTTATTTGCAATTGTAAATCAAATCAATTAAAACCATTTCTAAAAAGAACCCAAGTATCATGTGCAGTTTGGTTTATATAACATATTATTATTTTTATATTACAGGATAAAAAAAAAAATTAGCAAAAAAACAAAATAAATTTAAAAAAGCCAATGCTGATTATACAAAAATTGGATGAAAAATAATATCAACCAAAATAGAGACTTATTTTTTAAAGGTTGAAGACCTTATTAATTCAGTTTAAAAAATGTTTTTCAATGAGAATCACTACAAAACAATAACATTAAGAATAACCCAAATTACGAAACAATAACATAAAGAATAACTTAAATTGTAAAAAATTTTTTAAAGATTCACCACAGAAATTTCAGAAAACTGTGTAAAAATTTCAGAGATAGTGATAAATTTTGTAAAGTATGTGTGATAATATTGTTGTAACAATAAAAGGCAATCTAGAAAATCTTTTACTATAAATACTATAAGAGTATATAAATATTTAACAATTTATATATAAGTTAGATATTAAAAATATATTTATAGCTTGTACGCAGAAAATGCTTTTTCTTTTTTATAGAGGAATTGAAATAAGCAAATTTTAAACAAAGGTTCTATGGTTGAAGGGGTTGATGTACAAGCACATATACTCAGGAAACTGAAACAAAGGAATTTGTTTCCTGATTAAATGTCACCTCATTTATAAAACTCAATTTTATTGGTATGTCAGGGGTTATTCTAGAGCACTTTCAACAGCGCCAACAGTATTTAGGTATTGCAAAAATTCAGAAGTTGAGGACCTTTATTTTTTACAGCAAATATGGTTGTTTTTTTAGCAAAAAAAATGCTTACTTACAGCAAATTTCCATACGGAAAGGTGCTGGCACGATGGGTACCACTGCCCAAATTATTTTCAAAAAATAATCCTTGTATCAAATCAAAGTATAATCAACCTATCAAAAGGTTTACAAGGATGTTTCATTGACATTAGGATCCCAAGTTTGCAAACTTAGGTCCAAAAATATACATATAAAATAACAACAATAGTGCAATATTATAAAAAGAAAAAATTAAAAAAAATTAAAATATATTATAAATTGATACCTGTTTGTATCTTAACAACATCATTAATTTTCATACTATTTCGTATACTTTTCAATGAAACTTGAAGAACCTCAAACCTAACAATTAAAAATTAAAAATTTCATTATATTACTAATTATAACTTTTTTAATTATTGAAATGTTTATAAATATATTAAAATGTATGATAAACATAAGTATAAATTTACATATAAATACATTTTTTAAAATTTTATATCATACATTGAAATTCATAATCTGTTTCTTTGTAAATTCATTAAAAAAAAATTCATAATCTGTTTATTTGTAAAATTGAATATTCAAAATTTTTTAAAACTCCTTTTATAATTGCATTTTACACAGTTTTATTTTTTATGACATTTTATAATGTATTGTATATTATCACACTCCATCACAAAAAATTCTACAGATATATCCATCAACGACACAATAGAAAATTGACTAAGAGTTTGGTTTTGAGCAGACACAATCAATGTATAAAAACATTACAACTAAAAATACTTTTTCTTTATATCATAAAAATTATTTTTGAATAAAACTGCATTTAAAAACTTGTACAAAATGTATTACGACAGTGGCAACATAATGAAGCTTAAGTAAAAAAAAGAGGTTTGATAACATCAAAATAATTTTTGAAGCTAAATATTTTTGTACAATGAACTTTAAAAAAAATATATTTTTAATCTTTCAATTCATTTTCTCATAAGTTGTTGCTGCAAACTGCATTGAATTAATGATTTATAGAGAAATTTATAATAACTAATTGCGCATTTGCACTTTTTTTTTTCTGTATTAGGAATCTTAAAAATATATAAGTATTTAGTAAAAACCTCATTTTATATAACATCAGTAATTTTTAGAGCAGTGTTTCATAAAATGATTGATTTCTTAGTATCAAGTAATAAGATTAAAAAGTATTTGCACAGGAGAGTTAATAACATTAACTAATTAAAATTAGCAGTTTTTAAAAATGATTTTAATAAGCAGAGATATAAAATGTGCAATCATTTTTCTTGTAACATGTAACTAAGAATATTTTTCTCTTCCAATTGTACTGTTTTTTTTATTCAATGTTTTCATTTATTTTCCCCATAGCTTTGCCTGCCATTTGCAAAGTCTGAATGCATTGGATGATTATTTTTAAATAAACTTAAAATTATTAATTGTGCAAACATTTTTGTTTCCTATTATTGAATTGTAATGGGATCATATATCATCAACTCATCAAAATGGTGGCGAATAATATGAGAAAATCAACACTTTCATTTTTAACACAAAAAAGATTAGAGTTTTTTCCAAAATAGTTTTTTGAAAAAAAAATTTCTGATGAAAACAAATTTTAATATCAGATTTTTATTGCTAATTTGGTTTGTTAAATAAAATCAAAAACATTAGAACTTTGCTGATGTAAGAAAGCAATAAAATAATTTAAGATTTTAGAAATAAGAAAGATAAATTAATTATAAGAAATAATTAAAAATAAAGGTAAATTTTTACTTCAATTACATTTTAGCCAAATTTAAAAAAGCAATTTGATTCAATATAATAATCAAAACTTACTTTTTGTCTTTAGCACTTCGAACCACTCGTTTTGCATCTTCTTCATCATCACTAAACTGATATGATCTAAATAAAATCATTTTTAATAAAAAAATTATAAAAAAAAAAAAAAAGGAAAAAAAAAAAAAAAAAAAAAGAAATAATTAAAATGCATTTATATATGTAAAACAGTATTATTGTGTTCAATGCAATTTTTTAATTAAAAAATCTAAATAGAGTAGTTTTGATAAATATTAAGACCTCTATTTTTACATGATTTTGAATCAACAAAAATTTTAATGAATATTAACATTTGTAAAAACAAGGCAGAAAAAATCAAGTAGGATCCACAAGTTACAACAACAACGAATCAATTATTAATCAAAAAATACAACTTGTTAGTGAAAAAGTTATTTATGTTTGGTATAATTAAATAGTTTAGTGAACCAATTTGTTAACTTATAAAAACTAAAACTTAATAAAATTTTTATTTCAAAATTATGAAATTGTTATGCATTTTAAATTTTAATAAAAAAAGCATAAACTTGCTGATCTGCTGTAACTAGTCATTTATCCAACTCTTGTTGTGGTCAGTCAAAGAAAGATGTTTAACAACAAATAATAATAATAATAAAAATAATAATAATAATAATAATAATAATAATAATAATAATAAGAAGAAGAAGAAGAAAGTAGTTAGAGTAAAAATAAAGCAATAACAATAGTAAAAATAATATATATATATATATATATATATATATATATATATATATATATATATATATATATATATATATATATATATATAAAATATTGCTATTGCTATTATATTCAATATTAGCTTGTTATATATCTACATTATTCTTGTATAGAATAATTAGTTCACAGGCCCTATAGGCAAGAATACATGAAATGGCAAATGGTCTTAGTTATTTTCTCTCTGTATGATCCTGTTGATGACCTTACACGAAGTATGTTGGGTAAATGAAAACGATTACTAAAGGAAATGCAATTATTTTTATACGTTATAATAAAACAGGTGATTATTTCAATACATTCAACAACTGAGGAAAAACTTTTGTTATTTCATAACCATTGTAATTTCTGATACCTAGTCGGTACGTTTGCTTTAGGACGTTGGACTTCTTCTTCTTCGCTTTCCTCAGATTCACTTTCAGAACTTCCGGCTCGAAAAAAACGTGACATTTTCTATGAAAATTACAACTTTAAAGGATGTAAGTCGACCTAGCACGGGAAGATTCAATCTATCTTTATACCGTATATCAAACACAAAAAAAAAATTTCGCACTTTGTTGACTTTTAAAACAAAATTAAGCTATAACGATTTGTGAACGAGTGTCATTTTAGACTTTAGAATAAAAGACAATTAATCATCTTGCTTGAGTATTCCATTTAAAAGAAATAACAACAAGTTGTCTTTTTACAAAATTTATATAAACTAACTGGTTATTAGACATAAACTATTTAAACACAAATTTTATATCTGAAACTAGGGCCAACGATACAGGTTTCAAAATGAGAATGGGGGGGGGGGGGTGTTGCACAATTGTCAGCTTTTAAAATAAGTTCTCTATATTTAGAATTTTTTTTTCTAAAAAAAAGGTCATTTAAAAAAACAGTATAGAAGGGCAATACCTTTCCTCATCCCGCTCCCCCTCCTCCCGGTGTCGTCGGCTCTGGAACAACTTTAATTAACTTTAAAGTAATTTTTAGACATCTAAACATTTTTTTGCTCTTTACTTAAATCAAAGTTTTACAGATGCACGTGGTTATTACTGACAAGCTTCAAATTTAAAAAATAAATTTTAGATTCATATTTTTACACGTTTAGAGGTTTAGTTGCTAATAATGATAGCTTGAAGAAGAGTTAAAACATATATTCACTTTTGTTCCACGTGTTCGCACGCGTAATTTTAACAGGGGAAACCCATAAAAAGTTCACTGTTTTTTTAAGTTTATTATTATTCATTTTCAATTTTCAGAATTGTTATCTAAATATAAAAATAATAAAAAAGATTTTATTAAGTTAAAATCTTTTTCTGTAGTTTATCGATAAAATTATTTGTTTTATTATTTTTTATAAATATAGCAGTAATAACAATTTTTGTTGTATGACTTTTATTTAAAACTATTTAAGAAAGGAAAAGTAAGAGAAGTTCGTGTACCTAGGGTCGAATTTTTTCAATGACCAAATTCAAAGCCCTAAACTAGTCTAAAAGTGGTGAAACTGATATGATCATTTCTCTATACTAATTACTTTGTTGTAGTATAAACTATAAAAATCTGTTATGTAGAAGGGTTTAACTAGCTATTGTAGCTATTGTAGCTAGGGCCACTAGCTATTGTAGCTAGGGCCACTAGCTATTGTAGCTAGGGCCGCTCTCTGAAAATTAGGTTTAACTTTATAATAAACTGACAACAAAGATAGACGCATAAATTTGATTTAAAATTTATTTTATCTTAGACTCTTTTCATCAAATTTGTCTAGTATTACTTAATTGCAACACTTATTTAAATAACGAAATTGGCTAATAGTTCTGAGCAAGATTGACAAATAAGTATACGCGTGAAACGGTTGTCCCAAAACAACCGCGAATAAGTTCTGCACTAATAAAAATTCAATTACCTACCTCGTTATCAAGCAAATTCTTCATGCATATATGGTCCTAGGAACAAGCAAACTATATGGCCCTAGATATTAAAGAACCCCAATTGAGAGAAAACTTATTGAAAATATATTAAACAGATTAAGTACTTTAGTAAATAATAATATAATAAACAAGAATTTATAAAAAAGAACTTCTAGAATCGTAAAACAATCTAAGAAACGAACGGCAAAACTTACTTTAAACTATCAAATAGCGTAATCCAATTATAACTTGCCGTTTAACAAATTTAGTACTTAAGTAAAAAACAATATAATAAACAAGAACCTATAGAAAAGAACTTCTAGGATCGTAAAACAATCTAAGACACTAACGGCAAAAACTTTAAACCATCAAAAAGTGTATTCTAATTATAACTTGCCGTAGCAACGCTCTCTGAGAATCAAAATAGAATAAATAAAAATGTTTATATTATACTAATCACCTCACAGATTAGCATTTCCTAGATCTTTATAGTTTTCAAATAAAGTGGGGTGGCCCTAGGTACAAGGAGGCTCTAGGTACATATTCCCTAATGCTTTTTCAATTTTTTAACAAGTCGAAGTCTGCAATTAACCTGCTGAGTGTTTATAAGTGACTTCAGTACAGTTTTTAAAAACTAAAAACGAATTTACTGCGAAAGTCGTTTTTCGGTTTTTATTTGTACTGATGTCTCTTGTATAAAGTAGCGGCTGGGCAAAAAACTGTGTTTTCCATAATTAATAGGTCTATTAATTTCCACAAACCATTGGGTAGGGATCTCAAATATATGTTTGCTTTATATCTAAAGTATTTTCTTTTTTGATATAAAGTCATACAGAGAAATATGACTTTGAGGCTAAGATATTATTTTCCTACGTCAGGGACAGATCCCGCATTTTTTAATGTTTAAGATAATGTTCTAGCAATTTTTAATGTTTGCTAACTTTCTGACATTGAGCAAACTTCAAATATTTAAATATTTATATTTGCGTTAAATAAGAATGCTTCTTATAAAATTGCATTGATTAAAGTCTGGGAACTAAAAAGCAATAAAATATTTGTCCCTTACCCAGTCCCATTTGTGAGTAGGGATGGATCTTTTACTGACTTTTTTTTTACTTACACGAGTAAGTTAATTTTTATTAAAAAAGTAAATTACATAAGTAATTTTATACGTTTAATGTAAATTTAAATTTCCGTACATGTAAATAATTTTTTTGAAACGACTTTAACTTTATAATTTAAGTTTTTTTACTTTCAAAAGTAAGTTATGTAAAAGAAGATTAAATTTAAAAATAATTTACTTTTACATGTAAAAGTGAGTAACATAAAAAAGCTGTTTATTTTTACATTTAAAAGTAAACTACTTTTAAAAATTACATTACATAATATAAAAGTCTCTCAAACTGTAATTTATATTTATCTATTATCTATACACTACAGTCGAGGAGGCTACTCATTTTTTTTTTTTTTTTTTTTTTTTTTTGAAAATCGTGGTACAACCCTCTCTCAACTCTTTAACTCCGAAACACGAACCTTGACAAGCAAGACCGATGCGCGGAGAAATTAAGTTGAATACATATATGAAAATTTTATGTATTCAAAATATATGAAAATAAATTACATAAAAGTAATATGTTACCAAATGTAAATTAAATTTACAAATAAAATAATATTTATTAAGTAGGAATTTTTTATTTTAAAAGTAATAACAATTCTTTATTAAAAATAAACTATATAAAATAAAATTTAAATTGCATAATCTTACATTTTAATTTGTAAAGTAAATTAATAGTAATTTATATAAAATAAGTAAGTAAATTTACTGATATTTTACAATAACTTTGACAGGATATTGCACAATAGTTATGTAAAAAAGTCTAGAATTCAGGCAAAGCGGAAACATGGCAGTAAGCGAAAGGCGCATATACCTATGAGAGACTCGGAAAGGGAAGATTGTTAGTTCTTTTTACAGGTTTTTTGCGTAAAAGATTTTATTATTGAAAAACTATGGAGGGAAAGTTTAAATCAATCCTGGATTAACCCCATGTCCCGTAGATTTAGAAGCTCCGAAATTTTTAATAGGATGCTTTAATTTTAAGTTTTTTTTGCCACTTTAATAAGAAAGAAGGCTATTTACTCAAAAGTATTCCCAGACCATGCAAGTCTTAATCCAGCACTGGCTTTAAGAACTACGGTATTTTATGGGTGTGAAAAATTTAGAACTATTTGTTTATATATCTTTACCTGCGTATAGTATCAGTGGCCTAACTACAGCAAGGCCAGTGTAAGCAACATTTACTGTCCCTCAAGCAACAAAGCTCAACGCCGCGAGCTTGAGGAACCTCAAGATGTATTTAAAAATTTTTTTTTTTTTTTAGTAAAAGTTTTGTTCTAGAGAAACAGAAATTGGGCACCTGGAACAGTATGCCTACTGGCCCAAAAATATATTGCTACGCTACTGTGTAAAATACGTATAACCCAAGCAGAAGCTAAGCAATGATTTATACGTAGATTAAGAAATAAAACTTGTGGTGATGGGAGCCTGAAAAAAAAAATAAGCTAAAACATTTACCATCTCTGCCCTAAATGGGAGGGCAAAAAATTAGTAACTTTTATTATTTATTTTCTTATACTAAACTTAAGTCGATAGGTTTTAAATTTCAAAATTCGAAGGTTATAATTATGTAAAGCCTACACCCAAATCGAATATGGTGATTGTTTTAACATTTTCCTAAACATTCTAATATGATATAAGAACATACTTAAGTTTGGCACTCAAGTATACTTTATTTACCAAAAGTATATTTATTAACCAAAATCATTGATTTTTCATAATTATATTAATATTACATCTCAAATTTTACATAAGTAGACATCATTATATTTTTGGTTACCATAAAGTCTTTAAATAAGTTTAGTATGGTTTTTAACAACACATTAAAAGACCTCATTTGTACGTAATTATTAATAATAATATTAGCTTTTTTATTCAGCGTGGTTGTTGTTAAAAACCTAATCAAAATGAAAGTTACTTCTGGAAATCACTAACTGGAATATCTGATTAAAATTATTTCTGAAATGACTAACTGGAATAATTGTTGTCTGAAATATACTAATTGAAATTAGTTATTCCAGACATTAATAGCTATTACTAAATAAAAAAAAAACTATTTTCATTTCTGTTAGAGTAGTTGTTACAACCAGGACTGACTGGGGCCATCCCGAACGGGGGTGTGGAGGTATCCCCTCCCCCAAGCTGCTGTATATACATTTGAGTTAGAACATTTATACATTAAGTATTTTAGTTTGCAAGTTTTGAAGTATAGTTGGCAAATATCAAATATTAAGAACATTTTTGTGTGTGTGTGTTTCTAGTTGGCAAAAAAAAAAAAAAATGACAACCCCCCCTCCTCCACAAAACACCTCTTCGGGACGGCTCTGACAAAGACCACGCTGAATAAGAGCAGCGAAAAGCAGCAGCACAGCTTCAAATACGCCCAGTGGTTTGTTTTAGTAATAAATTTTTTTTTTAAAAAAAGGCATTTCTCCTCTACAATACTGTTATACCCGCATGCTGACTATACTTGCTCCTAATAATAACAAAACTACCTTTGATATACGTGAAAAAAAAAAT